CCAGGGAGTGAAAGTACAAGGCCGTATGGCAGTTCTATATCTGACTCTGAAGCGTGGTGGGTGCTTTGACGGGGACACTCTGACCTGCACGAGGAAAGCAGGGCAGAGGGGGGCAAAAACAGGCCACTGGTCAGGGCGGTTACGCTCATGCAGATGAGGGGTGGAGGTGGTTGGAAAGGGAGCACCAAGACTAGATGGTGGGTCGGGTCAGGGGAAAACCTAGATACTTGTTGTCACTTCCTGGGCTGGGGACATCTGGGGGAGGCATAGCTGTAGGAGAAATGCTCAGAGCTTTTGAACATATTACGGGCACAAATACAAATCTCTTCTAATATGAATCTCTTCTAGTCAGTTGGCCACTTAGCTATCTTCCAAATTTCTTGGCATAGTTGAGTGAACACTTCCAATGCCGCATCAGTGTGTTGAAAGATTTTGGTCTGTATTCCATCTATTCCTGGAGCCTTGTTTTTTGTTTTTTCAGTACCCACAGTACTTGATCACATGCTGTCTCTTGAAATGATTGAACATCATCCAGTCCTTTTTGTTACAGTAACTCTGCATAGACCTTCCCTGTTCTTTTAACATTTTCTTCATCATCCACTGTTTTGTCCATGGAGTCCTTCAGTATAGCAAGTCAAGACTTGAATTTTTTCTTCAGTTCTTCCAACTTGAGAAATGCTGAGCATGTTCTTGCCTTTTGGTTTTCTAGCTCCAGGTCTTTGTATATTTCATTATCATTGTCTTCTCGAGCTATTCTGTGAAATTTTCTGTTCAGCTCTTTGACTTCCTCATTCCTTCCATTTGTTTTAACATACTTCAGAGTCTCTTCTGACATTCATTTTGATCTTTTCTTTCCTTCCTGTCTTTTTAAAGGACCTTTGCTTTCTTCCCGTATGGTGTCATCCCACAGCTTTCTGGACTTCGGTAATTAGGGTTTAATGCATCAAACTGTTCTTGAGATGATCTCTGAATTCAGGTGGGATATGTTCAAGGCCACACTTTGGTTCTCATGGACTTGTTTTAATTTTCTTCAGCTTCCCCCTGAACTTGGATTTGAGCAGCTGGTGCTCTATTCCAGAATCTGCCCCTGGCCTTGTTTTGGCTGATGTATTCCATCTGGTGAGGTCTTAGTCTATAGTCATCTTTTATGTTGTTTAAAGAAGGTATTTGCAGTGAAGAAGTCATTGGTTTTGCAAAATTCTATTGTGCAATCTCCAGTATCATTTCTATCACCAAGACCATATTTTTCAACTCTTAATCCTCCTTTTTGTTCCTAACCTTCACATTCCAGTCACTGGTAATTATCAGTACATGTTGATTGCATGTTTGATCAATTTCATACTGAAGAAGTTGGTAGAATCCTTCAATTTCATCATCACTGGCTTTAGTGATTGGTGCATAAATTTGAATAATAGTGGTATTAACTAATCTTCCTGATAAGCACATGGATATTATCCTATCACAACAGTGTTAAACTTTAACATAGATCTTGAAACTTTCTTTTTGATGGTGAATGCATTACCATTCCTCTGGAATTTGTCATTTCTGGAACAGTAAACCATGATTGTCATATTCAAAATGGTTAACGCCAGTCCATTTCAGTTTTGTCGACTTCCAATTTTCCTAGATTCATAGTTCATACATTCCATGTTCTGCTTATTAATGGATGTTTTCAGCTGTTTCTCTTCATTTTGAGTTGTACTCTGTCAGCAAATGAAGGTCCTGAAGGCTTTACTCCATTCACATCATCACCATCAACTCTACTTTGAGGGGGCAGCTCTTCCCCAGTCGTATTTTGAGAGGCCTCCGACCTGAGGGGCTCACCTTCTGGCATTAGATCTGACAGTATTCTGGTCCTAGTCCTAATGTTTTCATCTTCCAGCAGTCTGTCTTACAGGTTTCAGTGGCTGAACAATGAGACGTAGTCGTCTTCTCTCCTTTTCCCTAGTCTGCCTTAGTCTGAAAGCTCCGAGAAATCTGTCGTGGGCGACCCTGATGCCGTTTAAAATACTGGTGGTATATCATCCAGCCCCACAGCAGCATACAAGCCACCACAGTACAACAGACTGACAGATGAGTTGCGGCCACAGAAGGTAGAAAATGGGAACCCGCTGGGCGGGTACCGTGTGCCGTCAGACCCGGGGACTAAGGATCGGGAACCCATAGGCGGTGCACACGTCGAGTTTCTGGCTCTTTCTGTAAAGTTTGTCCAAGCAGGTGACCCGTCTCGGTTCTGATTTGTGTCAGTCCCTGGGTGGGCCCTGGACCCTCAGACTCCCCGCTCAGTGTTAGTGCAAAAGCCACTGTGTCACCTTGTTCTGGGGACAAGTGTGGTTGCTCTCTGTGAGTTTGACCTACTTTATGTTGCTCTCTGTCTTGACTTTTGCTTTGTAGCGAACTTGTGTATCCGAGTAGAAGTGTGCTTCATAAGGTTGTCACTGGCTTATTTCGGGGCAGTGTATTACCTGGTTTTTCTTCTGAAGCACGTTTGGGTGCACTTGAACCTTCAGCCTTTCAGTTAACAGCCAAGCACTTAACCATTTGCACCACCCAGGAGGTCCTGTCCCACCTTTAACTTCCTCAGAAGAAAGTCTCCACCTCGATACTCTGGCAAGGCCCAGCCCTCAGCCCACAGCTCTTGGAATCCGTTGCCCTGTGAGTGTGGATTCAGGACACTTGAGGGGTCCGGGAGGGAGGTAAGCATGCTACTCAAGGGAAGGGCCCAGAGGCCTCCCCAGTGGGTCTGGAGTGTGTGTTCCCATGTGGCTGGTGGCATGGGGACTCGGTGAGCCCTCACCCGGGCACAGGAATTCTTGATAACCTGGGAGTCTCATCCAGGTTGTCTGGCTGTAAAAGAGTCTGAGAGGGAGCAGAGCCCAAGCCTTCTGAGCAGCACACGCATTCTGGGATACCGTAACTCCCTGGAGGGCCAAGGTGGGGTACAGGGTGGGTGTGGAGGGTACACCCAGAGTGGGCCGGGGCGGGCCTGTGGAAAACACATGGTGTCAGCCTCCGCATCAGCCACGTGGCCTGGCCCCCGAGAGGAGGGCTTGGGCTTTAGAGCCCTGGAGACCTCCTTCTGGGGGCCGTGAGCCCTCTTCCTCAGCATGACGTGTGGAGTAAGACAACATGTCGAGCACAGAGCCCATTACAGCGGAGGCAGTGGGGCACTGGTCACCCCGTAAATGACCCCATTTGGGAACATGCCCAGCGATCAAGGGGGTGGAAGAAGCCGGAAGGAGGATTTTGCAATCACAGGAAGATTTGAGGAAACTCTGTTGGGTCCAGAATTCAGATTGGGCAATAGCTGTCCGCAGTACTTCCCTAAGGCGAGGTGGCATGGTCTCCATCTTCTAATCTGTGGCCTGGACTACCATCCCAGGGTCTGGCTTGGAAGAGGTGCTCAGTAAATAATTTCCCAGTGAGTGAGGGAATCCTGGGACCCTAAGCAGGACCAAGGTGTCATTTTCCAGAAAAGACTGAGGTACAGAGAGCAGGGTGGTATGCCCCGGGTCAGTCTGGCTCATGGTCAGTCTCCCAAGACCCTCAGTAATCCCTCTAGCCAGCTCACCTCAGAGCCAGGGAGTCCTGTATACAGGTCTGGACAGTAGTGTCCTGCCATCCAGCACATAGGGCAGTCCAGTCTGCATCATAGGGACGAGAGCAGCAAGGCCAGGCCCACCCAGGGCCCAGTACCATGAACATTGCCCAAGCAGCTCTGGTTGCGTGACGTTCTGGCTTCTTTGGTTCCTCTCCAAGGGAGGAAGAGTGTGAAGGAGAGAAATGGAGTCCAAAACTAATTCAAAATTGCATCGAAGCATGAAATCACGTCCTTCCTTGATCAAGTTATTGCTTAAGCAGAAAAGTGACTGGGGTGGGGGAGGCTCCAGGGAGGGAGGGGTGTTATGTAGTTTTAAAAGTGAAAAGGTTAAAGTTTCTGGGCCTCGGGACGAGTGGGAATGAATGCCGAGTGCAGTCTGCTTTTTGGCCTCTTTTTCTGAGACATGTGATTTTGCTGGCCTGTTGGCAGAGCCCTGTCTCCAGGGCAGGAAAACAGGATCATTGGTCCTGCCAGGGTGAACTTTAAAGTACTTGGCGATTACCCACCTTCCAGCCGGGATAAGCTGGTGTCTTTGGTTGAGAAACAGCTCTGAGCTTCTCGCCTCTGGGCCAGGAGTGCCTCCCCTGGCTCCAAGTTTTCTGACTGCTCTTCTTCAGCCCCGTCTCGATTGCCTTAGTCTCAGCATTTCCAGCCATGGCACCCAAGCCTCTGCTGGGCTTCCTGTTGGGGCCTCGCAGTGGGGCAGAGTTACTGGTCAGCAGCCTCACCAGCTGGCTCCGGGCATCTGCTGACTCCTAGACTCAGAGACTTGTCAGCACTGAGCCCTTACCCCACAGCAAAAGCTCTGGGGTTCTTTCTGTGCCGAGGGGGGGCTCAGGACAGGGCCTGCTGCAGATGGGGGGGGTGTGTCAGACCCTGCTTGGGAGTCTGAGCTCCTCCCCAGGAGCAAACCCTGCAGGCGGGCCAGTGGAGGGTCAGGACTGGGCTTCACACCAGTTGTGAATCCTGCCTCCTGCACTGGGGGTGACTGCTATGCCTCAGCCTCAGCTATGGGATGGCAGAACTGCGGTTGAGCACACACATCACTTAGCCCTGGCATGTGCGTGCCATTTGTGTTTTCTCATATATATGGACGGCAGCCCGGTGTAGAACTCACTGCAGTGGGAGGCTCGTCTCCAGGCAGTTCGGTTCCACTGCCGACCCATACCAACCACAACGAAGCTTGCTTCTGAAGGGCCGTTAAGAGCACAGCCATTTTTAAACGTTTCCTTGGAGGTGGTCCAGGGTGGGCACTGCTCAGAGAGGAAGGATAGGAGAAGCTGGGGAGTCTAGGACTGGGGCGTGAGAGTGAGCTGCGTTGAGGACAGATGGGTAGTCCCAGGCTGCCCTCCCCAGTGGCACCTCTCACCCTGGGCTCTGCTCTTTCCTGCAGATTGGCTCACAATGTCGGTCAGCGTCCACGAGACCCGCAAGTCGCGGAGCAGCACGGGCTCCATGAACATCACTCTCTTCCACAAGGCCTCCCACCCCGACTGCGTGCTGGCCCACCTCAACACGCTGCGGAAACACCGCATGTTCACCGATGTCACGCTCTGGGCCGGTGACCGCGCCTTCCCCTGCCACCGCGCCGTGCTCGCCGCCTCCAGCCGCTACTTCGAGGCCATGTTCAGCCACGGCCTACGGGAGAGCCTGGACGACACTGTTAACTTCCAGGACAACCTGCACCCCGAGGTGCTGGAGCTGTTGCTGGACTTCGCCTACTCCTCCCGCATCGCCATCAACGAGGAGAACGCCGAGTCACTGCTGGAGGCGGGCGACATGCTGCAGTTTCACGATGTGCGGGACGCCGCGGCTGAGTTCCTCGAGAAGAACCTGCTGCCCTCCAACTGCCTGGGCATGATGCTGCTGTCGGATGCCCACCAGTGCCGCCGACTGTACGACTTCTCCTGGCGCATGTGCTTGGTGCACTTCGAGACCGTGCGGCAGAGTGAGGACTTCAACAACCTATCCAAGGACACCCTCCTGGACCTCACGTCAAGCGATGAGCTGGAGACGGAGGACGAGCAGGTGGTCTTCGAGGCCGTCCTGCAGTGGGTGAGGCACGACCTGGAGCAGCGGAAGGTGTACCTGCCCGAGCTGCTGCGCAGCGTGCGCTTGGCTCTGCTGCCATCCGACAGCCTCAAGGAAGCCCTCTTGGGCGAGGATGCCATCCTGGCGGACGAACGCACCAAGCTCATCCTGGACGAGGCGCTGTGCTGCAAGACCAAGATCCTGCAGAACGACGGGGTGGTCACCAGCCCCTGCGCCCGGCCGCGCAAAGCCGGTCACACGCTGCTCATCTTGGGGGGCCAGACCTTCATGTGCGACAAGATCTACCAGGTGGACCACAAGGCCAAGGAGATCATCCCCAAGGCGGACCTGCCCAGTCCTCGCAAGGAGTTCAGCGCCTCGGCCATCGGCTGTAAGGTCTATGTGACGGGGGGTCGGGGCTGTGAGAACGGGGTCTCCAAGGATGTGTGGGTGTATGACACGGCCCACGAGGAGTGGTCCAAGGCGGCGCCCATGCTCATCGCCCGCTTTGGCCACGGCTCGGCCGAGCTGGAGAACTGCCTCTATGTGGTCGGAGGGCACACGTCGCTGGCCGGTGTCTTCCCTGCCTCCCCGTCTGTGTCTCTGAAGCAGGTGGAGAAGTATGACCCTCTGGCCAACAAGTGGACGATGGTGGCCCCGCTGCGGGACGGCGTCAGCAACGCTGCCGTGGTGAGCGCCAAGCTGAAGCTCTTCGTGTTCGGAGGCACCAGCATTCACCGGGACATGGTGTCCAAAGTCCAGTGTTACGACCCGTCCGAGAACCGATGGACCATCAAGGCTGAGTGCCCCCAGCCCTGGCGCTATACCGCCGCGGCTGTCCTGGGCAGCCAGATCTTCATCATGGGAGGTGACTCGGAGTTCACGGCTGCCTCAGCCTACAGGTTCGACTGCGAGACCACCCAGTGGACGCGCATCGGGGACATGACCGCCAAGCGCATGTCCTGCCATGCCCTGGCCTCAGGCAACAAGCTCTATGTGGTCGGGGGCTACTTTGGGACCCAGCGGTGTAAGACTCTGGACTGTTACGATCCCACGTCAGACACCTGGAACTGCATCACCACCGTGCCCTACTCGCTCATCCCCACGGCCTTTGTCAGCACCTGGAAACACCTGCCCGCCTGAGGAGCAGCTGCAAAGCCAGCCAGGTGAGGCCCCGGGCGTGCCTTTCCTGCTTCTAGGTGACAGGTAACCGTTTACAGGGCAGGTGGCTAGTGTGTCATTGTACCTGTTCTCAGCTTTGAGGCCAGATCCTGGCTCTGCCTTTTCCCTGGAGGTGAACTTGAGTACATTTTTTAACACACTGGACCTCAAGGTCAACGGTTCAAACCCACGAGCTGCTCCTTGGAAGCCCTGTACAGGGTCGCTATGAGTCAGGAACGACTCGATGGCACTTAACAAAAAATAAAATAAAATGGTGAGAGGGTCCTTAAGCCAAGCCAGTCGGTCCAGTCAACCCTGAGTCCTGGCGGTCCTCTGTGTCCGAGGAGAACTGTGCTCTGTAGAGTCTCAATGATGGCAATTTTCAGAGTTAGATCACCTGGCTTTGCTTCCGAGGTGAACGTGAACCGCCACACACATTACCCGTTTGCACCCGTGTGGTGCTTCCCAAACTTGGTTGGAGGACATTAGAACCACCTGGGCATCTTTTGAAAAAAATCCTAAACTCCAGGTCACACCCAGACCAGTTAGATTAGTGGGTGGGGCACAGACGCCAGTCAGGTGGACGCTTCCCACGTGTCTCCTGTGCACACCTGGCTCACTGAGCACTTCTCCTTTCAGGACCATTGTCCAGTGCTGAGGCTCAACTGGGTGTCCCCATCAGCCTGCTGCAGTTCCCGAAGTCAGGACTGCAACAGGGCGGTGGGCAGGGTAGCCATGCTAACTGGGGATGGGTTGACCGGGTGGTGGGCGGAGTGGCTAGGCTAACTGGGGATGGTTGGTAGGCACCAGAGAAGGGGGTTGTGCTCTAGACATGCACCCCCACCTTGGTTCCTATCCCATGTGCCATTCTCAGCCCTCCCTACAGGCCTTCCACACCTGGAAGGGGAGGCAGCAAGTCCTCAACCACCCTCAGGCTATGAGGTTAGTGGTCCCAGGGTAGGGGTCAGGGAGGCAGGGCAATGGCAGGCAGGGGCTACTCTAGTTTCTCACATCTGGCGGAGACCCCAGGGCTGTCCTGGAGCCAGCTGAGTCTCAACCCAGCTGACACCAGTGGTCATGCCTGAGGTCACACCGGGCCGTCCTGCCTCAGTGGCCCAGCGCTCATAGTACAACGTCCAGCACACAGACTCTCACAGTCTGCGACCATCTGACTAGTGGCTGCTGACAGAACACTGAAAGAGCCAGATGAAGTGGCTGGGGACACTGAACTCAGGGAGGGAGAGGGGCTGTGTGCTGGTGGCCGGGGGGCAGGCCTGTGAGTTATTTGATGATGCATAGAAGGGATTGTAATCATTGCAATGAAACAAAATACGATAGGATGAGTGTAACACTGATGTTCTCCCATGTAAACCTCTTAATAAAAACTTTTTAAAAATTTTAAAAAAACAAAAAAACAGAAATGGTGTTACAGGGGCATAGGCCCACCTACCCCCACTAGGACTGAGGCCGAAATGTAGCTGGCTTCTGCCCCCCCTAATCCACTCCTACGGTACATGGCCATAGTTTCTCACTGTACTGGCACCGCCTCAAACCACTGGCCCAGGGCCTCAGCTGGCGGCCAGCCAGAGAATGGTCTCCACTTTCCCCCTGCCAGACAGCAAGATTAGGATTGGGTGAGAACCCAGCTTCCCCAGGTCCCTGAGAGCCATTCGGACTCTCCAGCCTCCAGCTGCCCCTCCTACCTTTGGGACAGCCCCTCTGTCTAGGTCAACTCCTACCTTTAGGAGAGCCCCTCTGACTGGACCAGCTCCCGGTCCCCAGCTTTTTCAGATCCTCACTCATCCCCACAGTGCTCTAGTTCTGTGTCTTGGTCACCATGTTGCGTCCCCACAGTGCTCTAGTTCTGTGTCTTGGTGACCACGTTGACCCTTTGGTGGATGCCTGCCTGTGTGCCGAGTACCTGTCATCATTACTTCGTTAAATCCTCCCCAAACTGTCGCAGGTTCTGCTGTACAGAGGCAGCCCCCAAGACAGCTTAGGAGGAAGTTGGCAGGCTGTCAGCAGGCGTCTCCTGAGGGGTGCTAGGGCCACCCAGTACGGGGTGGGTACGGGGTGGCAGTGTTGGAAACTAAACAAGCAGTACTTCCCAGGGTCAATCCCCCTTCCCCCAGCTCGTGTCATGTCAGGTCTGTGACCTCAGGGGACAATGGTGAGGAGACTGAGTTCCTCATTAAGTGTGGCTTCATCTCCTCTCCCACCAAGTCTTCCATCCCCTCACCTCCCTACCCCCACCCTCCACCCAAGCAGCCCAGGACTAAACCTAGGAGCGCCTGTTGTCTCCTCACCAGCATTACTGGGGAGAACTGAGACCCTTAGTTCCTCGTGGGCCTACGTAAGGGGTTTCAGTCACTGCCACAGGGGGCACTGAGCATGCTCCTGCCTGCCTTAAATGGCTACAAAGATGAAAGCCTAGAGCGGAGGCCTCAGGGTCTCACCAGCCTCCACATGATGGCTTAGGTCTCACTCAGCCCAGTGTGACAGAACAGTTATTGTCTACCCGTTTGTCTGCATGTGCAGCCATATCAGTGGCTCACGTTTGCCTTCACTAGGTAGGACTTAGACCCACCCCCTCCGTGACAACTCCCAGGATGGCGTGGCTGCACTGAGCCCCAGCCACTCTCCACTCTGCTGTGTGGACGGTTGTTACTGTTTCACACAGAAGTGGGGTGCCTGGGGCGTGGTATCAGAAGTGAGGGTGGCCTGAACATGATAAACCTGAGGGCAGGTCGCAGTCCCCATCATTGGAGGTGGCAGTGAGGCCTTATTCTGAGGGGGACCAAATCTGAATGTACGGGGAGGTGGGGACAGGAGGCAGCAGGGGCCCAGGACCCAGAGGTTCCAATTTGTCATCTCAGAGTGACGAGAGAGCAGTCAGCGTCTTGCTTGCTAGGGGCTCAGAAGAGTTGGGAGTGGATCCCTGTAGAGGCCCAGCTAAGAAAGCAGCAGCTGCCCTGCCCGGCCACACGCATGGCAGCCTGGTGACCTCTGGATGGTCAGTTAGCAGCAGTCTTCTAGAGCCCCCAAGTCTGGCAGTGAGCCCACGCCATTTCAAGGGAGAAGGTCCCTTATGTCATTTTAATCATACCGTTACCAGAATGGACCTTAGAAGCCAGGATGGTGAGACTTTGGTGCCTGTACGTCAAACGTGTCATCAGGGGGGACGAATCGCTGGGAAAAGTCAATGAGAAAGAGGAAGACGATGATTATTATTAAATGAGTGTAGGACTTGTATCACACGTAAGGTTGCTGTCAGAGCTGACTTGATGGGAACGCAACAAAGTAAGTACAGACTTACAACTAGATCTAAACTTCTAAAAGTCTATGAATCTTCAACAGCTATGAAGCCAGGGTGAACATACAGTCTTAAGAACCAGCAGAGCAACAAAACCTGTCATATTGTCATTACTCCACAACGAAATCTGTTAAACCATCAGAGTCTTAGAAGAATGTTGTTGTTGTTGTTAGGTGCCATCGAGTCGGTACTGACTCATAGCGATCTTATGCACAGCAGAACGAAACACTGCCCAACCTCACTACTGTTGCCATGCTTGAGCCTATTGATGCTGCCACTTGGCCAATCCATCTCACTGGGGGTCTTCCTCTTTATCTCTGACCCTCCACCTTACCAAACATGATATCCTTCTTCAAAGACTGGTCCCTCCTGACAATATGTCTGAAGTATGAAAGATGAAGTTTGGCCATCTTGGCCCCCAAGGAACACTCTGGTTGCACTTCTTCCAGCACAGAGCTGTTGGTTCTTTGGCAGCCCGTGGCACTTTCAATATTCTCCTCCAACACCATAACTCAAAAGCATCAGTTCTTCTACCATCTTCCTTATT